GACTGCTTCTCTCCACCTTGGGAAAAGCCCCATAGCCTTTCAGTACCACCACCACACACAAAATGGGGCCAAGGGTATGTAACTGGTTTGAAGACAAGCTATCAATTTTCACCTAGACATCAGAAGAAACAATGTGTATCCTGGATGGAAAAGGACTTGGCGTATCACCTTTAGCTCAGATCAGCAGTAACCCAGGGAAGGATGTTGCGTTCATCAATGAATGTTGGATAACGAGCTGGTGAGCATCACAGAAAAATCACATGAATAGGTAATCAAACATGTTAATGTAATTTAGCAGTTCCAGTCCAGCAAGAGCCACAGCAACAATATACATTAATCATCAATAATGCTCAGCAGTTTGACTAAGGCTGGGGAGTGAATGAGACACAGGAATTAACTCTGCTCTCCCACCCTCCAGGAAGCTCTGCTGAAGTCACCGAGATGTCACATCTCCAGAGCAACATGACAGCATTAGCTCTCTTGTCCCTTCCTCCCAGTCTTCAAACCCAGCATGCTATTTATGAGCACTAAATACGTGCTTCACCACTCTGTTCCCCTCAGCTTCTTTGAGACTCTGCCTCATCTTGGGTGATTTAAACAGTGGGTGAGAAAAGTAAGGAGGAGGTGTAAGACACTCATCTTCATGACAAATGACTATTTGCAGAACAGAGTGTTATTACAGGCGCATCTAACATCTAAACATATTCAATACACTGTGATGCTGCCAAGCTGACTAACCACAGAGCCTGAGGTTAAGCTAACTTGAAATATCAGCAACTCTTTCCTATCAGGCCCAACTCTTTTCAGAAGGAGGTCAGCCCATTTTTAGTCTACGTACAGAAATGGCAATGGGTCCTGAAGCTCAGAAAAAACCCACTGTTCTACATCCAGGGTGATCCCAGGCTGCTCAGACGTTCAGAGGAATAAGCAACTCCAAAAATGAGCCCAGAAGAAAGCAAAACAGTTCAGCTAAGGCTAATGAAAGACAGACTCTAAGTTCAAAGGGTGACTCTCCGAAAACTAGAAGAATGACTTAGGACAACACAAGGAAGCGTAACTGGAACTTTCATCTTATATCTATCTCTTACTTCATCTAAGTGAATTATACACCCAACCATAGAGGAAATCCTTCAAAGAGGTGATGGGCTCCTCTGCCCCACCAGCACTGTCTGCAGCTGCGGTGGGGATTCCCTTCCACAAACCACTGGGTTAGACTTGGACGTGGCTTTTAAAAAAAGGCAATAACTCAATTTCCAACAAATGCTCCCATGATGGAGGCAACTACACACGTTCAAAGGGGCAAGCTTTACTGCAGGCCACTCTGGCTACACTAAAATACATCACAGCTTTAAACGCTTTCTCATTCCTTGTCATACCCCTGATGACTGTGAGAGATTTTGTTGATTCCCATCAGAGAGCAGCAGTTTCAAGTCAGCACCTTTCCCTGCGCACATGCGTTGAGAACAGCCCCAAATCCCGACAAATCTTTGGCCAAAAGGACCTCTATCTATTTGAAATGCCCTTTTTTCCTCCTCTGCTTCGTTACAGCAGGAGATAGATAAATGTGTTTGAACGATTTGTTTGATTTTTATACACAGTTGAAGTAATAGGTTGGAAAGGACAGGTTGGCTCCTGCAACCCTGTCCCCATACCCCGAGGTAAAGAACCACCAAATATTCAGGAGCAAATAGGAATCCAGATGCTTTGTCAAAAGGAGTGAAGTATTAATCTAATTTTCTAAACAAAGCAGACAACCTGGCACTCAAATCAGCTTACCACTTTGCACCTCTCTACAAGGATTAGCAGAATGCCATAATTATAATGCCCAATTTGATTTATTAGAGGAGGCTGTGCAGAAAAGATGACAATTCAGTAGCATTGTGAAGAGAAGGGATGAGAGTATAAGGAAAGCTCCACATTGAACAGTAATTTCTAAGCAACAACTCAATATAATTAGCATTAATTACAGTAAGCTTTCCAAATTAAGTATAAACTTATGTTTAATAACTCTGAGATGCAAAAATCACCCCCAAATTCCATGAAACTTAATATTACAGCCAATTTGTCTAGACAGCTTGGCAGGAAATGCCAAAATTCTAGGTGTGAACTTTGTGGTTATTAAAAAAAAGGAAAAATTATTGAACTTGTCTATACCATTTGCATAATTAGTTTGAACTAAGAATAGCCTAGTTTATCTAGCTTAGATTTTGCTGCTACTTTCATCAACCTTACAGACCTGAAAACTTGTCTGGTTTTCACAACTATATCAGCTAGGATAATAAAAGGTATTTAAAAAAACCTCCCTTTTCAATAAAAGATGAATTCTAAGCGTGACTTGTTTAAAGAGGCACAATGTATTAATGAGTCATTCATCACAGGTTTTATTTTATACTCTTTGTGCAAGCTCCTCGCTCTTTTTGGAGTTTGTTACTTATACTTGGGGGGGGGAATAAATCAAACAATGAAAGATGAATTCACGTTTTCATGAATGTGGCAGCAAATACCCTATTTAATGACTGATAGCAGCCAAATACTAGCCAGAAGAAACAGGTAACAGCGTCCTCATTTTTCAGAGCTGAAATACAAATAATCTAAATATTTGGTAAACTAAGGCAACAGCATATAATTACAGAAACCGGAGTTCGGCCAGCGTAACAAAACCTCTTACCCCAAAGATTTCTAAGGAAGTGTCATGAAATCCCTAGCGGCCACAACTACTTGAAAATTAGTTTTAAATTTAATGTAGCAGATGCCACTATTAACAACCCCTTTCCTCCTCTGCAGTGGGTGAGGAACTGGCTCACCCCAGCTCCAGCAAGAGGGGACCTCCCTGCTGCCTGGCAGAGTGTGGCCTCACACATCCACAATGGCGCAAATACCTGAAATGCACTGAACTCGCTGCAGCGTAATTTTAGACCTGAAGGAACAACTCTCTAACCTGTAGAAAGGCAGTATTTACTGAAGCCAGGCTTTCATGTTAGAGAGATTTTGGTGGCAATCGAGACCTAATGACCTCCTGCAGTGCTCCTTGTTTCCACACTCGCACTGCACCACTCTCAGCTGCATCAACATGAGCATTTGTAAGGTTACTCCGGAGACTAGAGCAGAAAGTGAGCCAGCTTTACGTATACTTTGCAAGGGTCGCTGGACTGGTGTTTGGGGCCTTTTCACGTAAATAAAAAAACCTGACACAACAGCAGCTTTACAAAGGCAGAGGAGCTGATGAAGCACAGTGCCACAATCCTGGTGTAAGCAGCAGGCAGGAATACCATCCAGCACTATCGCTTCTAAACATTTTCTATCAAAGCCAGGGACTTCTGGTGAAATGCATGCTTAGCATTTTGTGGGTTTGGATGCCAAGAAAAGGATCCTAGTTGCTCAAACTTTCATCGAAACTAAAATGTGCATCTATTCACGCATAATAAAAAGTCATTTTAATTTGCACTCTGTGCATTTTAATTTGCACAGAGTGAATATTTGTGCACAAACTCACTGCACCTGTAACCAGAGGGGGAACTGAAACCCTATCACTCAGCTACTAGCAAAAGAAAATAAGAAACTTGATGTATTTTAACTACATATACACTGACAGTCTAAAAACAAAACATTTGGTATCACTTTGGGGAGTTAAAAGAAAACAAACCTGGCAAATATTTTACTAGGAGGGCATGGTTACATGATTTGCGACCTAAATGTTTGCAAGCAGAAAAGTACTAACATCTTTACTTAAGTTATTTGTACTGAATTATTCCAACTATTTTTTTTTTATCAAAAGGAAGAAAACAAAAGTCTGCTAATTTGTTAATGAGAACAATTAGCCACCAGAAGAGTGGGGCCATGAGCAGACCATTAGAATTTCTAACGTAAAATGTGATGAACCCTTCTGAACGAATATGCTACAACACAATCACAAAAGATTGTGTGTGGTGGAGAAGTTATACAGGGGGTTACATTAGATAACCTTAACAATCCTTTCAAATCCTAAAATATTGGAAGTCTGAAAAAACACTTCCAATAACGGGACTATTCAATCTTTTGTTGTCTGGCACACATACAGAACTAGTTTCACAGAACAGAAGGTGTGCTTGGGTTAAAGAGCTCTTTTTCTCTGCATCACGAAGAATGAAAAATATTTTTTCATCGTAGTGTACTTCTTAGCTCAGAACAAATGGTGGAGGGTCAAGTACACTAGCCTTCCCACTGGCTGGCATTTGGCACCATGTTAATGGACAACTGGGAAGGTGTGTGTTCATAGATATAGGCTGCTGTGCCATGTGGATTTCAAACTGATGAATGAGCACTGAGTCACCAACAAATCTCCCTGCTGAGCAGCAGTTAAGTGATAAATAACCTGCCAGCCACAGTGCCTCTCCTTTGTCACCTCCCTGGCTCTGCACACACCGTGGTTCAGATAGGAGTCTTCGCAATCGTCCCCTCCAGCATCACCACTCTTAATTCATTAATGTTCTAGCACATTTTAGAAGGGCACAGACAAAAGACTCCCCAGAGTACAACTTCCTCCAACTTCTAAGAGACTGGAATATCCTCTCCTTCTCAACAGACTGTTTTGGGGGCACATGAACTTGATTCATGAGATGTACACATTCACATTTGCAACTTCCAGGTGCACATTAACAAGCACATCTTCCCCAAAGAAGGCTATGATCCGATTGATAATTTCTACTTGGGTCTAAGACTGTTAAGAGCCACAAACCTATGGTGTGAATTACCGCACTGTCTCAAAGTTGCAGGATACAAGGGAGGTCTGTTCCTTCCTTCCTACATTACCCAGCACACCTGGTCTTCCATTTTAGCCTATGAAACTTGCCCGCAACACAGGCTTTGCGCACTTGGCCAGAAGTCTTGTAAGAGACATTGTTTTCACCAGCACAAGTTACCAGAGAAGCCAGTTACATTAACAACTCCAACCTACCAGCAGGACATTTCACAGTGGCCAATGACATGGTATAGTCACTTCAGATGAGAAATAATTTCCCTACCTGTTTGGATAGCTTCAAGGGGAGTTTCTTCTTCATCCGTTCTTTGCCTCTTTCTGCCTCTCTCTCTGAGCTCCCAGCATCATTATTATGGCCATTTTCACTTGGCTCAGCAGACACACAGTTTTCAGATTCTCTAGGTTTCTTTCCTGGATGCCTCTCCCATTTCTCCTTCCGCTCCTGAGGCTTTAGCGACATGTCCTTCTGGAAAGGAGGAAAAAATAATAGTAAGTTCTTTAAGTTCTCTGAGACTACTTTTAAGCATTAAGCGGTATAAATATTGAATAAAAACACAAACAAGACAGCATGTTCTTTTCAGAGATGACTTAAGGTGAATAATTACACACGCACAATGCAAACAGTAATTTTAGGTTAGATTAGGATGAATACTCTCCAGGCTATGTGTTTGATTAATTTCAGAGATGCTGGAACTGGTTATGAAAATGAGTTTGCTTCAGATTAATTCAGGAACCATAAGGCAACAGCACACGAACAAATCAGCATCCTGAAGGAAAGCCTTAAACTGTTCAACTGAAACAGAGGTGGTTTTTATTTTGTTTCTGATCTCAGAAAGCAACATATCAGACCCCCCTTGGGCCTGACAGTCTCTGATTCACAGTAGCATTCATATGGAGAAATGCACTTCTAAAGCCTACCATGCATTCAATAAGCAAGCTGAGATCAATGGGATCTAAACACATAACAGAGGTTGAACACTTCTAAGTGTTAAGTGTCTGCCCTGAATCAGGACTATAACATACAATCTAAGCACAGTTTAAAAGCGGGTATGTCATGTCATAATGATTAACATAGGAAGTGAGATCAGAGAGGGGAATTACTACTATCCCTGGCATCTTTGAGGACTGAAAGCTGAACTCTTGGTGACAATGGATCAACCTCTCCCCCTGCATACCACACAGAAAAAGAGTTTAAGTAGAAATATGCCAAATCACTATGACATTAGTTCACTATAGCTAGGTAAATTTTTCCCCAATGCCTTTTATTAACTGCTCAAGGGTAAAAACTAAACTGTTTTTGGAATGTTTTGCAGAATCTCTATCCCCATTAATTTTTTATGCAAGGTAAATATATCAGATTAGGAGATACCTTAAAAGCACTGTTTACCATGCCAAAATTTGTCAACTTCAGCCACAGAAATTTTTCTAAATGCTTCATCCCCCTTTTCTAAATGCCTTGCTTCTGACTCAAGCAATTACATCATGGATATTTGTATCTTACGTGAATGGAGCTCACAATACAACTCGTTCACGTCAACACACACACACCTTCAGTACTCCAAAAGAGCTCACAAAACTCATTAGCGCTCTAGTCTCTCAAAAACTAAAGCCCAACAACAAAGAAAATTAGGAATTGGGATGAAATGCCCTGCTGATTGCTCTAGATTACTTCCTCCCCCTCTCGTTTAATTAGCGAATTGACTGCCTCAGTGTGCAATATGCCGATTCCACTCCAAATCACTCGCTGCTTAAAGTTACCCTTCCCTATGAAGCGAGATGATGCACCGACACTTTAGGGTCACAGAGACACTGAAATGTGAAACACAACAATAAAATACATACAGCTGTTCCCTATTCCAACCCAGGCTCAAAGACAATTAGCCAGCACCCAATCTCTACACACCTTGCACAGGGGTCCTGTGTGGCTGGCAAGCTCCTCTTAAAGCACGCATATATTCAGCAAGTTGCAAAACCCGCAAAGAAAAAACACCCACCCCAAACTAAAATAAGTAGCACTGTCTCAGAGGCGCAGAACACACCAGAATACAGCTCAGCTTGCCAAGTCCATAACTAGTGAAAGAGCAAGGAAAATGATTGTCTGGCATTATTCTCCATGAATGATAAAATGAGGAATGCAAATTAGTGTTTAGTTGCTCAGTTTGGTTTTTAGTTTTAAGATAACACTCTAAAGCAGCAGTTCAAAATGCCACTTAAAGAAGGTCACATTGTCCTATTTACTGGGAAGTTGCTGAGATAGAAATCAAAATGCTAAGCTTTAGTAACTAATCAGAAACTAGTGCAATGGAAATGACATCTGTTAACTGATACTCAGCAAAACATCAGAAACAGAAATCACCAAAAATGTGCACTTCTTCATAAAGCCAGATGCAGCTGCAGCATGACAGCAGACGCATGCAAGATGCTGCATGAAGTGACATGGGCCCCGATAAGGGAAAAAGGAGGCTGTGGCAGGGGAATGCCACCACCTGAAAGCAGCAGCAAGTAATGCACTCCTGGCTCAGCCTGTAATATTCACTTTTAAGGATGCTTTCAAAGGCAGTAAATGGCCATTTCGGTTTAAATTCTAGCTGGCTTCACATGGGGATTGGGCCTCTGTTAATGCCTCAGGGAAAGTCATCCCTCAGTACCCACAGCACATTCACTGCAGGTTTTAGACTATTCACTTCACCACATAACTAGTCTGGAAATCTATGTTTTTCCCCTTACTGAATCCTACAAAATTCCCTACTTAGAAATTTAGCTTTTTATCCCCATTTTGTTTGGAGATTTAAGGTTTGTCTCATCACTGAGCTACTAGCAAAATTAATTCAGGGAATACAGTCATAGCTGGATCAAAGCCAAGGAAATAATGCATTCACTTGTAGTGCCACTTGCGTCCAAGAATCTGAAGCACTTTCCAAACAGCCGTGAATTAAGACCCAAGCCCTGGTAGCCAAGGCTGCTGCTTGCCTCCAGCAGGAGGAAGGTGGAGGGAGGCATCCTCAGCTCCGCAGCACGTCTGGGACAGCCGTGGGGAAGATGCCAAGTTTCTCAGCCCCATGACAAGAAAGCCTATTCCACGGTCCTGTTCCTCCTCACTTCAGCAGAGGATGCAGCTCACAGGACTTTGCTTTTTCTGGGAACGTACGACATGGAACTCAGCTTCTCCTTACTGACAGCGGGTGACAGCAGGGCTGTTTTCTATGCTGCTAAATGCAGACCTCTTTGCAGCCTCGGGCAGAGAGCAGGAGGGGGCTAATGGCGTTTCTGTTCTTGCCTCCTTTGTTTCCTATTTACTCTACTAAAAGAGTCTTCCAGTGATTGCTCTTTTACTAAAGTTTATGACCTCCAAGTTGGGGACGTCACTTAGCAGAAGAGTTTACTATTTTTGGATGTGCATCTGTGCTTGTGCACAGGCAATTGCTGGAAAATTTAAGCATGTACAGAATATACAGTACATCACTGCAGTGAACAACGTTTATTGATGTACCTTGACTTCAATCCAGAAATCCCAGCCAGCAGGTGAGACTGGCCTTCTGACAAACTGCTCCACTGGAGCCTTCCCCCCAGACAAGCCCAGACCAGCAGGTATTTGCACGTCATGTAAAGCCTAGGGGTTCACACAGCGACAGTGTCTGAAGTCAGGCCCTGAAGTCAAAAGGTCTTCGTATCCAGCCTTGGGGTTTCTGCCCAAAGCAGGAGTCAGCAGACCTGGCTACCTTTGCTGTCAGGGCCAGTAAATCCCCTTCTGCAGGGAAGGCTGGTGGATCCAGGCCCATTCTCTCTCCTTGGTTCCAGGAAGGAGATTGCCAAATCTTGTTCCAGAATATACAAAACGATTTTGTTCCTTACTACTCACTGCTTCCAGGGCCCTCTCCTACCTGTCCTCACTTAGGAATCGCGCTCACACCCTCCAGGGCAGGCTACAGCCTCTCCATCTGCAGGCCCTTGTCTGTCTGGGCTGCAGACAGAGAGCAGATGGTTCTAATTGGCTGCACCGTTACAGATAAGGAAGAATTAGGCCTTTCTTTAGAGCCTCTTTCCTGGCAGTTACTCCATGAAGCACACAGATACTATCTCCCCATTTGCTTATTTGGATGTACAGACATCAAAGAACAGTTCAGCTGAAAACGTAATTGTGGAACCTCCTCCAGCTCTACCTTGCACACCAGTAGCTGTGAAGATCCACTGGCAAAGACCTCAGCACAGGCTTGCAACCCAAGTATGTAACCTAGACTCTGCAACAGATTTTGAGAGTCCATAATAAAAATCTCTGTGAATGTTTTTTCATCGCTATTTGGCCCAAGCTAAAGTTATGCAATTGCACCTCTGCTTGCAGCAGAGCTGGCAACATCCTTAATCACTTGGAACACTCCTTCCTGAAAAGCCATTTTTCTTCTGTCACCAAGGCACAGCTGCAATCTCCAAAGACACTCAAGGTGCACACCGCTCAGCTTATAAATAAAGCTGTGAATAATGCAGGTGCACGGCCCTCAGCTCTGGAATGAGACCATTCTTACCCCTAAAATGCCACAGCAAGAGACTTCTGCACAGTGGACTCCATGCTGCCTGTTTGATCAGTCCTAGAGGACCCTGGCGCAAGCTCACATCCACAGCCATCCGCTGGCTGGAGTTACCACTGCGTGTTTGCTCAGCCCAGCTCAAACTCTGCCTTAATCCTCTGAGTTTACACAGCTCTTTGAGATCTCAGAAAGCATGTGAGATCTCAAAGGGGGGAGGTTGGGGTTGTAAATACCTTTCATACACAGGGAACACTTAAAGAACCTGAAAAAAAGTGCAAAAACCACACAGCTAGATGAAAAACCTTGAGTGGGCTGCTGGGGTGCAGAGGACAAAAATAAAACCTACAGTTAATAAAACAACTACCCTCAGCCCTCAAGCATCAGTTCAAAATGCAGCCCTGGTGCGAAATCAAGTCCATTACAATCCCCCATCCCCAGGGCCCATCAGACACTGCAAGGCTCAGACATGCAGCCAAGGACTGGTTACACTCCACTCCTGCCAGGCTGCCTCTGCCGACTTTAAAAGATTATATGGGCTGATTTCCCAGAAGGGAAACAGCCTCCAGCTTCTCTCTCCACAACTCTTCACTGCAGCAGTTATTTCTTAAGTTGGGGAACGTGAAATATCCCACCGAACATCAAACAGGAGAAGGATCCACGCAAAGGATATAAAAAAACCCCACTGTTGCCTCTAAAACTGACCCTGCTTGTCCCTGTTTCTGCCTCCAGCTTCTCTCAGCAAAATTGCAATGGAAAAGCCCCCGAGGATCTAAGCACTATCCTTATATCAACTTTATAATGCAATTAGCAGTAGGGTTGTCAAACGTGTTTGTTTAATAGTTCAGGGAAGAGATCCTGGCTCAGAGAGGAACTGAAACAGATTTACTTTTAATTAGGCTACTTTTAAAATATTCCTATTGACCTGATACCCAGTTTA